ACGTGGCCTTGAGAAAAGTAAACTTGTATGAATCTTTAGGTTCCAACACAATTACTGGAATGATAATTTGAGAAGACTTTTCAACGGACAAAAATAAAAAGGGCAAGTTCGAGGAGGCGAAGAAATTTTCCTCGATCCCAGCAGGAGAGTGGATCTTGAATTTCTCACCCTTGATAACAACGAAATACTCGTGACGCCCCTCTTTCATGGCGTAAAAGTCCTTTGCTGGGCCATCGTAGCTGTTGAATAAATAAAAGGATTGAGCCTGACTTTCTAGCGTGAAAATGTACGAGTCCAATGCAAAGTTAAAAAGCACCCCACGCGTTAAAAGGGCATCAAGCAGCGATTGCGATTTCGAAGAGAAAGAGCAGAACGAATTTATGTAAAAAGAACATGGAAGTGGGCTCGATAGCTTTCCCACAAATTTGGACGAGTTTTTCAAAATCAGAGTATTTCCGCCATAAATCTCTCCATACTCGAATCCATCTGAATCAAAAAGGTACACTTTGGTACCTGGATTATAAGAATCAGTTTGAAACGCAATGACATTATCGTCTGATCCTACCATTGTGCCATTCAATGCAACTCTGAAACCCAGATTTCTATGGCAAAGTTTGAAATCATCGGAAACAAGCTTGGCTTCTATCTCATTATCCTTTAGCAAAAAGGCATCTTTTTGATTTAGAAATAAATGCATGCTGTTATATTTGAGGATGGAAAATATTGAACTATCAGATAGGCGCTTGTGTAGCGCAAATTCTACATTATAATCGCGTTTCTGTTTGACATTCATGATCTTCCATAAACGGTGGCTGGAGAACGGAAGTCCCGAAAGCTGGATCCGTTCTCCGTCGATCAAAAGATTGGCATTAACCAAATTTTGGATTCCTTTTTCCGTCTGGGTTGCGCATCTTGATTTAGAGGAAGCAAATTTCCAATAGTCATAATACATTTTAAGAACATAGTGAATTTCGTCCTTGAAAAAGAATGTGTTGATGAGCTCAAAATTCGATATCACCGACAAATAGAGGGCATGGCTATTGGTCAGGTTAGAAAAATTTCCCTCAAGTGCTAAGGTATTAAGTCTGAGAAAGGCGAAAATCGACTCATATTCGCCGAAGAAAACATTTTCAAGATCTCCAATATGCAGCAGGTCTTTTTTTTGGATCGACATCAAGCGATTGAGGATGATCTGGTAATTTGCCAAAAGCCTCAACTTTTGAATGTCATCATCTTTGTTTGTCAAAATTTCTGCCACCAGTTTATCCTTCCAAGACAAAAAATATCGAATAACTGCAGGTAGAGCCTTTTCAAAGTTCTCATAATCCGCAAGAAATAGATTGAAGATTTTATTAATCAGGAATACAACATATTGGATGAATAGAGGTAGAGCATTGATTAAAGTACCAGTATAAGTCGATGGTTTGATGATAAAAGTATAAATGATTTCCATTCCAGCCTCAGATAAGATGAAAGCATGATCTTCTTGCAGGTAAGTCAAGAAATAAAAAATAGACGCAAATTTGTTCATCAAATTCATCAA